GTTGGCTTCTTACTTTACCTGAGCTGTTCTGCTGGGGCCAGTGTCCAGTGCAGCAAGCCCTGAGTGTGCTTTCCTGGGGACCTTCCGATGGGGGTGCCGTGCATCTGCCTATCACACGGCTCCCTGGCTCATCCCTGTGCCCCCACGCCCGCCTCCACGGCATGCCATCCGACCCCGCAGCTCCATCTCAGACGCAGGGTGCCTGTGCCCTGAGGGAAGCCTCTCCCATTCCCTCCAGTTCCCACCTCTGACTCTCCCAAGGGCATGAGCTATGCTGTCGCTGTGGTCATCAGAGGTGAAACCCCAGCTCTGCCTTTCTCGCTCGGCTCTCGCTTTTCTACCCCCCTTTACCTCTGTGTGACCGTCCTGCCGGGGTTTTACATCCCACTCTGTTCTGAGCCCTACTGTGTTGCTGCAAAGCCATTCCTCCCAGAACATGCTGAGCTGTGGCCCTGGGTTTCAGTCTGTCACTGTGGGGACCCCAGCACCCATTCCCATGTACTGGGCAGACCTGACGTCTTGTTCTGATCCTCTAAGTTCCCTCCTTTCTTTCCGTGATTCAAATTGTACTTATTTCCACATTCCACGTGGATGTCCTTTACCACATGCTTTTGCTCACTCACGTCTCTAATGTGCTGTAACTGTAGTGGCCAGTCCTGAGGGGCTTAAAGGGGGGAGCCAGCAGAAGTGGGCCAAGTGACCCCAGGACCACAGGCACTCAGCTGGAGGGACACACACTTCACAGGCGTCTGCACTCCCTCAGCATAAGAGCACTTGCTTGGTTTTCATTTAGTGCCCTTCACAGGGCCTTTATGGATAATACCATCTCCAACTTCTGCATTTTGTTAGCTATTAGTGCCAGAAGTAAAGCTGGAGCAGAATCCCTCGTCTTTCCCTTATTTATTACGTAGGACCAGTACAACTTTGGGAGAGCCTTAACCCTGGCGTGGGGCTGCCGGTTCCCAGAAATCACGTAATATGAGTGTCCCTGGTGCCGCCACGCTGAGAACATTAATCACGCAAGATGCTAACCAACTCCCACAGGGGGGGAAGGAACAGCGAGGACCCCAGAAATGTCCGGAGTTCTCCTGCGTTTCCTCCCTTGACAAAGGTCCCAGGTGCCATTACAGGATGGGGGCTGTGACGGTGAAGGAGGAGCAGTGTCCAAGGCCATCGTGGGTGTGTGCAGCCTACATAACTCTGGGGACAGTGTGCTCTTTGAGCTCATCCTGACTCAACACCTGCGATTCCCGTGTCACAGGGGACACTCTGAAGCATCAATATTTCTGAAAGTCCCACAGCCTTGCTGGTGGCTCTCTAAGAAGCTCCTGAGACAGAAGCAGATCTAGTAGGACAGACACTTGTTAACATTTTATATAAATTACCTTGTACTGTTTCATTTTCTTTCTTTCTTTTGATTCTCCCAGTCATCTAGTAACTGAGATCATTTCTTATATTTCTATACATCCTCCGTAATGCCTACAGCTCAATAACCTGTATATAGTATTTAGTATATCAATTAACCAACTGAAACCCACAGGCATATACCTTGCAAGGGCATTAAGTTAAAAGATGCAAATCTGATTGTCTAACAAACTTAGGAATGTCAAGGCTTCCGAGAGGCTCGGGCAGACCTCTGGCAGCCAGCAGAGATGAGGAAGGGGACAATCAAGGGGACAATCAAGGGGACAATCGTGGATGCAGCAGTCACATGTTTCAGCGTGTTTATTACCCAGATCCATATAATGGGGAGGTGTTACATGACGGGTCGTTTCCTCCTCCTAGGATACTAAGTGTTGTGTGAAAGGAGAACTGGGCCTTGTAATCACTGGGGAGAAATAAAAGTGGGTAACTTTCTTTCCCAGGACTGTACTAAAAGCTAATAACCATAGACCTCTGCTGACAACACAGGGACGGGAGGGTCAAGGGAGAAGGGGTGCGCCGCACGCACTGACTCGGAGTCACTTCCAAGGGACAGATGCTGGTCTGGAGCCCGGCCCTCCTTTAACAACAGGAGCTGACCTGGAGAACCTGACGGCCACTGGTCACTTTGACCCCGAAAAGTCAGACGTCAACATTTTACTCAGAGTTACACTGACACTGATGAACCCACTGGCTCCTTGGTCCATTTTATTTTCACTGCAGCCTTGCCAATCACTTCCCATTTATTTAATTGATTTTCATTGGAATCAGCTATGTTGCATTTACCTTGTTAAGAAGATGTAATTCAGATGTTATTGTCCATGTTAAACTTTGCCAACTGGAGCTTCTGCTATTTTTGTTTTTCTCCTGTGACAGTTATTTCTACCAAGTCCCCCTGGTCCTGATCGAGGTAGCGTCTCAGAGACAAAGGAGGGTGGCGGGGAGTGAGAGGAAAAAGAGGCGCAAAGGAAGAGGCAGGCAGAGAGCGGCAGGCTGCAGCTGTGCTGGAGTTTCGGCTCAAAGGACGGAGACACATCTGGGTCAAGGTGTCCCAAGGGGCACGTGTCTGGGGCATGACGCACCAGCATGGACCATGGGGACACAGAGCTGTCCCGAGGGTGACACTGCAGAAATCTACCCGAGGGGCTGCTTGCTCACTGTAATCTGAAGTTTTTGATGATGTTGACATGCCTGCTGCATAGGTCTCACATTGAAGTGCCTGTTTTTGCCTCTCTAGTACAGTGGTTCTCAAAGTGGGGTCCGCAGAACCCAGGAGAGGTCAGTCCCTGGCGTAAAACACAATTTTTGTTGTAGTAGTAATAATAAAATAGTCAGAATAAACAGTGATATGCTGGCATTTGCAATGATGAAGCAAAAGTGTTGGTGGGGAAAGTGCCAGCCAGTTACCACGGAGTCAGAGCAGCGGCACCAAACTGTGCTGGTTGTCATCACACCACACACTTGTGATAAAATGGTGCCACTGTCAAGAATGTCCTTAATGGACAGTAAAAAATATTAATTTTACTAAGTCTCAACCCTTAAGTATAGCTCTTTCTTCAATATTTAAAATAACTTTTTAAGTTGCCTTCTATTTTTTTGATTAGGTGATATTTCTTATTTTTAATTTAATAGTTTTCCAGAAAGGCAACTTTCTACAGTTTTCTGGAAAAGGTTTTTTCCTTGCACACAGTCTCCTGAAAGGTAAGTACAGCGGGAAGTCTACTCCGAGCTGCGCCCTGAGCTGCGGAGGGGGCTCCGAGGGAAAGCAGCGCGGACTGTTCCAGGGGCACCACTGCCCACTGTCCCCTGGGTCCCAGTCCTTGGAGGACAGACACGTGGTGCTTGTGTGAACTCATGATCTGGCAGAGGTGTTCTCGAAAGCAGCTGAAGTGAGTCTGTCACCCCCCGGAAAACAACTGACTACTCTGTGGGTGATGATAAAATTTGTACATTTATATGGAAATTAGAATTCTGGAAAACTGGCATCTACCATCTTGATGGGTTCCTAGTACTTGCAAGCTTCTATGATGAGGATAGTGTGATATGTATCTTTTTAAAAAGTTTTTACTGATTTTAGGGAGAGAGGAAGGGAGAAGAAGGAGAGGAAGGGAGAAACATTGATGTAAACGAGAAACATCGACTGGATGCCTCCTGCGTGCCCTTTAGTACATGGGACGACATGCTCACCGAACTGAGCCACATAGGCCAGGGCGAGGATGGTGTGATATTAACTAATGTGGATTTTTTTATACTGTATGTTGAAATGTGTCAACCTTTAGATCTGCATAATCCAAAATGCTCCTTATGATCAATGCGTGAGATTACAAATCACGCATAAAACCCACTTCATGTGCAAGGCAGACCGATGGGTTTTAATATAACAGTATGAGAAGTTCATTAAAACGGTTTCAGATCTCACATAAAACAAATCTTTAATAAAGAAAATACTGCTTATAGACTTTAATGCAGGACCAAAGAATATTCAAAATTATATGAAATTGTTAAAAAATCTTCCCTTTTCCAAATTCCAAATAAATAGCTCTATGAGGCCAGATTTTATTCATCTACTTCAACCAAAACAACATATTGCAACAGATAAAAGAGGCAAATATTAAACTATGTATTAAAGGGATTTCAGAAATGTAAAACAATGCTGCTACTCTTACTAAAAATTTAAGATATTTATTTTTCATAAAATACATAGTACATATATTTATATATAAAAGAAATAATATAAAAAATAAAATATAGCCCTGGCCCTTAGAGCATCAGTCTGCACACTGAAGGGTCATGGGTTCAACTCCTGGTCAAGGGCATGTACCTGGGTTGCAGGTTTGATCCCTTGCCCCTGGTCAGGGCACATGTGGAAGGCATCCAATCAATGTGTCTTTCTTACACTGATGTTTCTCTCTCTTTCTCTCTCCCCCTC